CTTTGGGACACCCTACTCCACAGAGCTTGAGGGAAGGAGATATTCCATTTTATGAAAGGTCAGTTCATTGCTTTTGTATTTAAGTAAAGCGATAAGCTTCCTGTTTTCCTTTATTGTTACCTTGTTCCACAAATGATTTCCCTTCTGTAAGCCTAATTACACACGTATAGGAAAGCATATATAAAAACAAAGGTTATTATGTCTAAATGAATATTTAACCATTTATTTCTGTGCTCTTTAAGTAAGATACAGCAGGATAGATCAGACTCACCTGTATACCGCTCTGTGGACAGTGGATTTTTCTCCAATGATGAAAGGTAAAGATGTAAATTGCAACTAAGATATTCCTGTATAAATATGTATACTATATATCACAAAGAGAATAACATCTATCTCCATACCAGTTTTACTCACAGAGAACAACAGCAGAGATCTGATTCAGGGAAGCCTGGGATTCTGTCTGCAAACAGCCATCAGATGGATTTGTCATCCATATTCCAGGTGTCATATTTACAATCTGCTTCCTTGATCTTGTACCAGAATACAGGTTATATTCCGATATTCTATTAGAATAACATAAGTAACTTTGTTTGCTGCATGAACAGATAACATTTTAAAACAGCACACTCCCTGAAATCCGATTTCTTGCTTTTTTTAATTGAATGTATTCACATATGGACTCTGATGATTAGTGCTATACTATCAGTTCCTTTGTTCTTAATTTGCATTAAATATATTTCCTTATGCTGTGTACGGGGGGATATGACATACTATTATTATCACTGTATTTTTCATTTTTTGGACGGTGATGGTGTTATATGACAGTATAACATTTTCTAAGTTTTGGGAAGAGTAGCATGTCCCGTCCATTCATGAAAATATTATATACAGGTACAATCTCAATAAATTTAAATATCATCGAAAAGTTTATTTCAGTAATTCAATTCAAAAATAGAAACCCATATATTATATAGATTTATTACACAGAGTGATATATTTCAAGCATTATTTCTTTTCATTTTGATGGCTTAGAGCTAATGAAAACCCAAAATTCAGTATCTCAGAAAATTAGAATATTACATAAGACCAATACAAAAACAATTTGTAATACAGAAATGTTGGCCTACTGAAAAGTATGTCCATATATGCACTGAAAACTTGGTTGGGGCTCCTTTTGCATTACTGCATCAATGCGGTGTGGCATGGAGGAGACCAACCTGTGGCACTGTTGAGGTGTAATGGAAGCCCAGGATGCTTTGATCGCGGCCTTCAGCTCATCTGCATTGTTGGGACTGGTGTCTCTCATCTTCCTCTTCACAATACCCCATTGATTCTCTATGGGGTTCAGGTCTGGCGAGTGTGCTGGCCAATCAAGCACAGTGATACTGTCGTGCCTTGCGGTGAGCACGGACCAGGAAAACAGGGAAAGGAGCCACAGGATCAGGGATCAAGGGATTTATTAGGAAGGCAACACCGAACATGAGGAAAAACAGGCAGCAATGTCAACGACACGACTAGGGAAACATACTCAAACGCGGACTTAAGTACACTGGACTAATGACAGCAACAAGAAACAGCTGGTAAACAGGGGGATTTGACACGAGGTAGATGAGGGGGCGCGCACACGGGAGGATCGGACGAGCGGGGCATGACAGATACCATTGTCATTAAACCAGGTTTTGGTACTTTTGTCAGTGTGGGCAGGTGCCAAGTCCTGCTGGAAAATGAAATCAGCATCTCTATAAAGCTTGTCAGCAGAGGGAAGCATGAAGTGCTTTAAAATCTGGTAGACGGCTGCACTGACTTTGGACTTGATAAAACACAGTGGACCAACACCAGCAGATGACATGGACCCCCAAATCTTCACTGACTATGGAAACTTCACACTGGACCTCAGGACCTCTCCACTCTTCCTCCAGACTCTGCGACCTTGATTTCCAAATGAAATGCGAAATTTACTTTCATCTGATTAGAGTACTTTGGACCACTGAACAACAGTCCAGTCCTTTTTTTTCCTTTGCCCAGGTAAGACGCTTCTGACATTGTCTCTGGTTCAGAAATGGCTTGACACAAGGAATACAACAGTTGTAGCCCATGTCCTGGATACGTCTGTGTGTGGTGGCTCTTGAAGCACTGACTCCAGCCGCACTCCACTCCATGTGAATCTCCCCCAGATTCGACTTTAGTGGCTTACCCTCCTTGTGGAGGGTGTCAATGACTGTCTTCTGGACAACTGTCAAGTCAGCAGTTTCCCCCATGATTGTGTAGCCTACTGAACCAGACTGAGAGACCATTTAAAGGCTCAGGAAACCTTTGCAGGTGTTTTAAGTTAATTAGCTGATTGGAGTGTGACACCATGAACTTTGTCACAATATTCTAATTTTCTGAGATACTGAATTTTGGGTTTTCATTAGCTGTAAGCCATAATCATCAAAATGAAAAGAAATAAATGCTTGAAATATATCACTTTGTGTGTATTAAATCTATATATGAGTTTCACTTTTTGAATTGAATTACTGAAATAAATTAACTTTTCGATGATATCTTAATTTATTGAGATGCACCTGTATATATTGTGCCTTCGGCGAGTCGAGCGCCGACCGGCTTGTTTGCACATTTTCTTTTCTTTTTTTATTTATAATACCCAACCACCATCCTCCCTCTTTGGGTATTTTTATTTAGCTGAAGAGTAGATCACAAATCAGCCCACCCCTGCCCACCGCCCATTATGACGTAACGCTACACAAATAGACAAATAAGACATGACAGGTAAGACAGATAAGACATGATATTGTAAGACACGGTTGTGCACGTTGACGTAGACAGACAAGACAGGACAAGACTAAGCAAAGCCATACAAACACTGGGATAGTTAGGAATTTACTGTGAAGTTGTCAGAGTTATGAGATGCAGCTTGTGGGGTATGATTGCATTTGGGGCTATAGTGTGTGTGTGTGTGTGTGTGTGTGTGAGAGAGAGAGAGAGAGAGAGAGAGAGAGAGAGTGTGTGTGTGTATTTATGTGTATCATTCAGTGGGTTTAGTTTACAGGCAAGGTCAGTGCGATGTTGAATGGGGCCCAAACTTTTTTGAAGTATGGAGTTTGGTGCTGTAAGGTAATAAATTACATTGATATATAGTCTTTGAGTAGGTTTGACAGTTGTGTGATGTTTATTGTTTGTCTGGTTTTCCAGTTTAACAGGATAGTTTTCTTAGCAATAGGTAAGGCGACCAGTTATGAGTTTTGCATCTTTGATTAGTGGGGTTATGTCTGAGAGATCTCCAAGTAGACAGATGGAGGGAAATAGTGGAATGTTGCAGCTTAGTATTATGAAGATTCTGTTAGCAATTTCTTTCTGGAAACTTTGAACTGATGGGCAGAGCCACAGGGAGTGAAAGTAGGTATCTGGTGTGTGTTGTTACGCTCCAGTCTAGGGTTGGAGCCTAACAAAGTGAAAGGGAAGGAGGGATTGGGAAGAACAGGACAACCAGAGCTAGGAGAAGGGAACACGGGACACAAAGGAAGTCTTTTTTTATAGTTTTTTTTTTATATAGTTTTTCACAAACACTGTACAAACACTAGGTGTAACGAACGTCAGGAGTGACAAAGGCCAAAGAAACAAACAAAAACACATCTACCGAGTATAACCCCAAGCTAAGCTACCTAAGTGAACACAAAAGGGATGAAACGAAACAACAATGCCTAAACCTTTCTCCCAGACCAAACAACAATAATCCCCACGTTTACGATTAAACAAAAAGGCAGACACTCCTTACACCCACCTAGACTTCAGAGAGGCGAAGTCGAAGTACAGGCGAAAGTTCAAAACCAAGCAAGCAGTCAAAACCAGGGCGAAGGTACAATAAGGGAAGAGGCGAAAATCGGAAGTCAAGAACAAAACAGTCGTACATTCAAACCAAAGGCAAAGCGAAGGAAGAGCGAGCTAGCAGGCGAGAAGCAAGTAGCAGGCAGACGAAGGGACGAAGCGGCAATCTCTTCAGCCGACGAACCGGAAACTGCTCCGAAGGCAAGGGAGGCGGGGTCAGGTCCAGAGGGCGGAGTCGAGGGTGCAGTTGACCAATTGGCGAGTGGGTAGGACGTCCGAAGGACCTGCGGGCATCCTCCTGAACATACGGCACGTAATACTTACGGCACTGGAAAAGCCCATTTTATACATCTTGTGCTGGGTGATGTGTACTCTGTGAATTATCTTATATTGAATTAGTTGTAGATTAGCGTTTTTAGTCATAGTGAAGGTGTCCTTGCATATTTGGGTCCAGAATTCATTGCTTGTTGTAGATGATAAGTCTTTCCCAGGATTCGATTGGGATGGAAATTGTTTTATCTACAGTGATATTAGTTTGTATAATTTTGAGAGAACTTTCTTTGTGTCAGTTATTTTTTTGATTTCTTCTACCAGTGGAAGTAAATTGTTGTTTAATATAATTATTTTAGATTTAAAAACAGACTTTAATTGGAGGTACCAAAGGTATTGTTCTTTCCCAATGTCTTGTGCATTTGTTGATCCTTAATTTAAAACTGACTAGCGAAAAAAATCATTCATTCATTTGTTTATATGTTTATTTTTCGAAAGGCTGCAAGCAGCTCCCTGCATTTTTTTCAGTTAAATTCATTATGAAAAGTTCTAAGAATTAAAAATATGCTTAAAGGCATTTAAATTACGTGCTGTGTTAGATTATCAACAAAAGTGTTTTTTGTAATAATTTTAATTCTAAAACCTCAGGAAGTAATTTTATTTATTTTTCCATGCATTCATTTGTTTACCTGTTTAACTTTATTTTTTAAAATTCTGCTGGCAGCTCCCTGCATTTTTTAAGTTCATTGTGAAAAGTTCTCAAAATTAAACACAGGCTTAAAGGCATTTCAATGAGGTCTTATGTCAGTATTTATTTTTAATTTTACATCAACTTCAATTTTTTAGAGCAGACATATACCAGTTTCAAATATCAGTTATCGGTTTTCTAGTTTAGCGATAATTGGTATCTGCATCGGCTCTGAAGAAACCTTATCAGTGTATCCCTTGTTCTAGTGTTGTATGTACTGTATGTATATGTAACCAGGTTATTTTGTTTAATGTGTATAATTACACAAGAGCTGTTTATTTTTAATTTGCTTATTTGCTATCACGACACAGCGATAGTATGTTTACTAGAAAATTCACACATGGCGGAAAACTGGTTACTTCTACTATAAAAGGACAAGTAATCAGATTACAATTGAAGCTTTGAAGAAAATGAAATGCTTTATTTTTCATAAATAGGCTATTGTATAATTACACCGTTGAATTCTTGTGGTGTTAATGGTGTTGTGCAAATTCACATCGTGGCACACAATTACACAAGTAATGACTATGACACCAGTGTACCGCACACCCCTAGCTGTGTATTTATATATGCATCTGTGGATTGCTGATAATTCAGTCTTGTCATAAAATGACAATGAAATAGTCTTGTTCTGTGTTATCTTTTCTTATAGTCACTTGAGGAAAATGCAGTGAAATTCCTGAAGAACAAATTGAAAATGTTTAAGAAATATCTGAGTCAGGATTACCCAGCATGCTGTGAGCCTCAGATGGAGGATGACAGTGTGTTGGACAGTGATGGTAAGATGCAGAAGATCTGTGGCAGAGAAGGGGCTCTGAAGATCACACTCTACATCCTGAGGACCATGAATCAGATGGATCTTGCTGACAGGCTGGAGCACAGTAAGAATTTTGGATTATTTATATGTCCATCATGTTCTAACTGTATAAGTTTATTGTGATTGTTCTTCATTATTATGACGTTGCCTGATCACCAGTTAAATTTAAGCATGACTGATGCTGAATATTATAAGGAAACAATGAGTGTAACATCAACAGTTCAGTGACACCCTCACTCATCAAGTGGAATCTTAAACGTATGATTCTTTAACATTAAACTAACCAGGGGTGGCTTTCATGAAAGCGATTGATTATAGAAAATAATGAACAAGAGAACAAATGTCATAAGTAAAGAACAACTGAGATCTATGTGCGTTTCCCAAAACCCATCATTATTCCTGAATTAACAAACAAGAGAGAGATTACTAAGTACTTTGGGCGGAGCTTAGTGGGTGCTTTGATGATGCTCCCCAGCCTGACCTGACCTGATTATTTCTGTACGTCTTTACGTAATTTTTAATTGATTGAATACCTGTAACTTGTACGTACAGTACATGTTTCCTTTACGTATTTTATTGAATTGTACCTTGGTTACATATACGACTTCTGTCAATAAGTTTATAGTCCCTTCGTTTACTTATTTTACCTCACTGTAAATGCAAAAGAATACGGCAGCCAATGCCGTGTTCTATGAATTAGTAGGGGTAACATTAGTATACTGTACTGTACTCTATTTTTACATCAAACATTTGTTTTCTTAAGGTAATATATTAAGCTAACTATTAAATGAAGTTAAAGTGCTTGGGGAGCTTGACTGCGGTCATATTTAAGTTTTAAACTATAGAAATAACCACATATTACCATTTTTAGTGACTACCAAACACTAAAATTAATTAATAAGTTATTTTCCATGGGCATATATTTATTGTTTTTGCATATTTAGCTGTTTCTGTGTGTTATCAATTGTGAGGAGTCTACAGTAGTTTTTCTGATAGTGGGTTGTCTGATGGATAAGGTTGTGATAGGGTTACTTGATTGACTGTAGGAAGTGCCCTTCCAAATGGTACACAGAATGACAGTTACATTATTAATTCTATAGGTGACACTCAAATGTGGCATTCATTATGACATACACAGGTGCTCAACAGTAGGCCTGGCTACCTTTTGCTATTGTAAACATTTGTGATCGCATGGGGGATGAGGGCGGGGGTGGACGGGGCAGGATTCAGTGTATGCTGTTTATATTAACTGCTGTGTAACTCATATTTAGATATTAAGCTGCACTTTTAAAGCTGCACTTATACTATGTATATGGATTTATGTGAAATCAATTACATTTAAATTCTACTTCCTTATATTCAAAGTCAAATTGTGATTCAGCACCGTGTTTTCAATCGATTTATGAATTGAATTTGATTTTCAAGTTCATTCTCAAGTCAATTCTGAATGGTGCACAACCCTGTTATGTACTCAAATTGCATACAGGTGTTAAAACAGCGAGCCCCTTTTGCGCTATTTCATGGTCTGCATTGTAGTTGGTAACACTTGATAAGGGTACAAATGATATACTTAATGCTAAAATAATTCATGGCTCATGATGATTTAATGGAGAAATTAATACAAGATGTGTCACGAATTCCTGTTGCTCACCATGAACTAAGTCACAATGACTATGTGATTGCGTCACATTTACTAGATCATCAGTTAAGGAGACTTAATTCAGTCACTTCATTCAATAATTGATATGCCACCAAATGAATTGTATTCCATGTAATGCAACTTTGAATACAGTGTGGCACTGTGCTATTGTACTTACAGACTGGCTGATCAAATGCACGGACTCAAAATGAAACTTTGTGGATGTAACCTGCATTGTGTGGATAAGCATACTGCTACACTGTATTTAAAGTTGCAACCTTGGGCATGGGAGGCATGGGTGCTAGTTTCTTTCACTAGCATGTCTGTTAAGGTGTCTGGGAATGAGGTTTTCCCACTGCACACCACT